TGAATGTAAACCAGTTTTGTAAAAAAGAAATTAATCTTTAGACTGTAATATCAACATGAACCTGAAATTTGAATATCCTTTACCGTTTCCTTTATCTCTGTTACTTATTTATGATTGACAAACAAAAACTTTAGTTTGTCAATCTTTTGTTAAATTGAATCACTCAATATAACTGTAGAACAAAGGTTTTTCACTCATGTACATGGAATATCAATAATGTAAATCAACCTTTTATCCCAATTTGGATGTTTAACCTGAGAAAATCTAAGACACATGTAAGAGGAAGTAACATTTCTACAGCTACAGGACTGCACTTCTGTTAAATTTTAAAGTTGTTTTAAACCAATGTTTTATAGTAACATACACTATAAACAAAGAAAAGCTTCACTAGTGATTCCTCCAATTTGCTGCCTTTCAAACAGAATATTCCTAAGAAACTTGTAGGTAATAAAAAACAAAATTAAAATGAAGAGCATTGCAGGTCATTTGGGTAAGATATGAATAAGATGAAATTAACTTAAAAACTGAAAAGATAGCTGCATCTAACAAAGACAAACCAAAGGTTTTCAGTGAGCTTACTTCCCTTTCATTCTTTCAGAGTCCTCGTTTAAGCCAATAACTTGTTCTTGAGGCTGTTCACTTTTGGTGAGAGCTTAGCACAATCCAGTTCAAGGAAAAGTTTCTGGAATACTTCCAAGGTGTATTTTAGCTCTTTGGGATAGGCAAGATCGACTGCATATGTCAATCCAACCAGCATTGCGCATGCTCTTGGAAAATTGCCCAGAGCAGGCATAACTCTCACACCCTCCAGCACAATGCCAATGTCATCCTCCTCAGATCCAACAGCCTTGATTTTGTAGATTTTCATCCTCTGTTCAGAAAGATCTTGTGACACACCATCCTCATCAGCATCCTGAAACAACAAACACATGGGTTTTCTGACTGTAGTTGCACACATGAAATATTTCCTGGACACATCCTGTAGCTGAATGACAAATAAAACATGATAATGCCTCAAATTATTTGAAACTTGACAAACACATATGAATAACAAAAACAGAATAATGTTTCTACTTCAACACTTACACTGTACTCTTTGATCAGTTGATCAATGGACTCCCCAAGGTACACCATCAAGCACTGAATAACCAGATTTCTGGTTATGTTATTGCTAGGATTGCTTGGTGACTGAAAATGAGCAAGAATTCCAAAAATTACCATCAGATAAGTGACCATTTATTAAGACAAAACTGTGAGAATTGGCAGTATTAAAAAAAACTGTTAAATATCAAATTATCATCACATGGAGCATTATGTGCGATAATTAGCTGATGTTAATGCACATGCCTGGGTGCTGACAGTCAACACAAAGGTATTGTCAACATGCTTGACAGGTTCAATCTTTAAATGTGTCGTTTTAGTAAATTACATTAATTTAGTCATTTAGTTTTTTTATCTAATTTAGTTTATGTTCGTCAGAAAGGGTTTTTCCTTCTTGGGACAAAACAAAAACCCAGCAATACCTGTACTTGTGTTTTTTTGTTTGTTTTTGTTTGTTTTTTTTTACTAAGAATAGACATGTATTTAAAATACAATTAAAACATGAAACCCATAATTGTGTTGTTAATTATATCAGTGACGTCCTGGCGTCCTCTTGCACTGACAAAAACATGCAAACAAATTAGTGGAGCTGTGCACCATGCAAATGAAATTTGACAAAAAAATTCTTTAAATAAAATTCCAAGCTGAAATGTCTGTGGAAAATACCTTGGCTATGATAGCCTGCAACTTCAATCCCATGCTGATCAGGTGAATTTAAGTTGAGGGATCTTCCATTACCTGAAAGGAAAGCAACATTATCATTTTTGACGTTTAGTCAGCTGTGTAAAAACCAAGGAGGAACCCACCCGGGGGATTAATAAAGTTTTATTTTATCTAATCTAATCTAATAACTTTAATCTCAGCCAAACAGATTTACTCACGAACAAATAAAACACTGAAAAAAACCAAACAATAACATTTTTAGGTTGTCTAAGTGACTTATACATTACGTTTAAACTGAGTAGCGAAACCCCGCGGTGATCTGAAAATGATGTGCCGGGAGTTGTGCCGTTCTCAGCGGCTTCAGTGACCCTCGAGCTCCCGGCTAGCTGTCGAGCTGGTGGGTAGCAGATGCTCCGAAAACGTCGAAGCACTTTTGCAAACATGCGATATCTGATAAACCGAGCAGATATTTGATGTTTACACAGCTACTTTCGCGCCTGAAAATATGTTAAAAGTTTATTTTGTGACCCAGAAAGATTACTAAGAGTAATTTTAAAACTTAGTAGCGGCCGCCATTATTGGAAACTGGAGTTCGAAAAACTGACTGTGGCTGACAAAATCACTCACAACTGACCGCAAAACCTTTTCATGAACTTTTAAACGTGGATGAAAGACGTTAAAACTCATCGGAATATACCGTTGATATTTTTTAATACGGTAAAACATGTGGTTAGTTAAAGCTGTTCAGTAACACAGTCGTGAAGGCTTGGAAAGTGACCTTGTGCTAGCAGTCCACTAACTGCCATTTGTGTAAAAATACGATACTATCATTACAGTGATGATTATTAATAAAATTTCGACGTATCATACTGTTTAAAACCTTTACTCAAAACCGATATACGTTATTGTTTAAACCGTGTCTTATATTTGAACAAATTAAGAAGTCTTACCTCTGACAAAATGGAGACGTCCACTCATGAAGCGCGTGTGTCCTGCACGTGGCACAAAGGATTATGGGCGGAAGTGTACAATGATTAAAATGAAAATGCTTTCATCAGTTAAATCTATTAGATTTCTTAAATTTTTTTAGTACTCAAACATTTTTTTAAATCTACTCAACAAACCATTGCTGAATTTACCCCAAACAAAACTGTGTAAATTTAAATAACTGAACATCTCAAAATTGTTGAATTTTGCTTAGATTTGATTAAAACTACTCATACACGTTTTTACTGAGTAATAATTACTATTACTCTCCTATTAGATTCTAATTAACCCCAATCACAGTTTTTACAGTGTAAAGGCTCGCCTTTTGTTTAAAGTTAATTTGGTCTGCTTATCTGTGTCCGCACCTGGGTCCTCCAAACACTCTCCACACGGTCAGCCACTGCAAACCATTACAACTTGTGCATGGGATTTTAAGATTTACAATTTATATTTGTATTTAAGTTATGAAATATGATTCATTAAACATGTTTGTGGTTGTTACAGCATAAAATATAACTTTTTCTACTCAGATTTTGTTTTTTTTGTTTGATTTTAGATCAGTTGTGTTAATAGAGTATGTCAAAATTAAAACATAACTGTAAATTCAGACATGTGAGGCTGTACTGAAAAGAATGACACCAAACAAGGCAAAGTAAATAGTTTTTAATGGTGATATGTAGAGGTCAAATTAAAAGTAGTCAAAAATGGTCAATTATACCCGGGACCCCAGAAGGTTAATGATAGGTTTTGTATTGTTGATTGTCATTTATGCTTAGAAACATTTACTCATATATGCTTAGAAGTGTATAATCATTTGTAGATTGAAAGAATGTTTCATCTTAAAGGAGGTCTGTATTAACTCTGTGTAGAAGGAAGTGCATTCATTCCTCTAGAGTGTATCCTTGGTATAAATCACATACTCCCTAGGAGAGTTTATCTTTTCTTGTTGATTTATGGTATAGCAAGCACACGTATATCTGTTTAAGTATAAGAGCCTTTTGTTAGATGGACTCAGACACCTGGCACCAGCTTTAGGGAGTCTTCACAGGGTCACATCTTGACCTCACACAGATCTCTCACACACACCCACATACACACACACACACACACACACCCACATATACACACACACACACACACACACACACATACACAGGCAAGGTACTCTTTGTGTGAATGTAGACGTCATATGTTAATGAACCTATGCATATTCATGTAACCTCAATAAAAGGGCAGTAGTATGGGAGAACGGACGAGAGCAACCGGGTCAGATGAGGGAACGGCGCCTCTTCGGTCTCTCCCGTGCAGGAGTAACATGAAGAACTTTGCCTACTTCGTGTCTTGCTTTGCGGTGTAATTATATTGTCTTCAACACGATAGGACTTTCATGAATTTCCCCCATGCACATTAGTGGTGTGAGATACTGCTGGATTTGGTATTCCTTTTATACTAAGTAAATAAAGGCCCAGTATAAACGATTCTGATACAGATACTGATGCTTTTTAATAATTATGGTGGATGGTGGATCAAACTGCTAAATCAGAATGAATTTTCATGACCTGTAAGTGTTTGGGGGATTTTCTTTTCTTTGGATTATTAATTAAACCCAAGGACAGAAAACATATAATGAGAAGTCTGTATCACATCTACTTGTAGTTTAAATATAGTAACTGCACAGTATCCCTTTTACAGTTAACACAAAGGGGTTATGATATATTCGGGATATTTGTTTCAATTACAATAAATGTTATTGTGACACTTGAAAGCAGCAGCACTTAGATAGAGGTTGCCCTTAGGTTGCCTCTTTGATGATTCTAGGAGTAACAAAGAAACAGAAACCAGTATCCCAAAAAGTTAATTCTGTTCATCTGGACTGTTTTCAGTGGGAGAAACGTTTCATCGCTCATCCAAGTGACTTCTTCAGTCTCAGCTAACTGCAGGTTTCCCCAACCTTATAAACATTTGCACTTTATATAGTTGGGAAAACTTGGGATTTACTTACCTGGATGATTGAGCATGTATCAAGACAGAAACTAATATCAATCTCATTATGCTCCTATTTATCAATATCAAAACAAACTTTGGCATCTATGTTTTGGTTTGATCCGCCCACCACCAGGGCCATGCAGAGCTGTTTAAAGGGGCGGGTGCTCAAAGTTAAAAACAGGCACATAGAGCCAGGCTGAACAACAACACACATTCTTTAAGAATCTAATACGGAATCGCATCATACTATATCACTGTTTTACCTGATGGGGTACAATGTTGCTGTTGAGGAGTTTCTGCTGATCCTGCTCCTGATAGTGCAGGAGGAACGGGCTGTGTTGACTAAAGAGTACGCTGTACACCTACTTACTGGCTTTTGTTGCATCAGTCTCCTACAGCTCTGCACCGCTCAGATGGCAAAGAATGCGCGTGCTCTTTGCGAGTTCGTTCCCGGTTCGTAACCAGCGCGCTCTGCCATCAAGGGCGATCATTGGTTAATGGTAGTCATGTGACTGATGGAAACCACATCCTTTTACTTAGCAAAACTATGATTAATAGTCAAATATTATTGTTGAGGGGAACAGACAGGACTGTACAGACTCCACACGCACACAAAAATAAACAAAAAATAGTAATAAAAATAAAAAATAAATAAAAATTATACTCAAGAAAAGGGCACTTGGGGCACCCATCAGGAAAGGGGCAGGTGCTCAAGCCCCCCCCCTCGCACGTGCCTGCCCACCACTAATACACACATCTAACCTTCACCAACTCCTCCAACAATGAGTAGTCTGCATGCAACCCCAATTCCCTGTCATACATGGCAGCTTACCAGAATCCCTCCTCGACCAGAGTTGGGTGTAGACATCCTGGTAACACTGTGCACCTGCTGCACCTCCATGGCGTCCTCCTGGCATTCCTGTTGAAAATGTCCCAGGTCCCCACACTGCTCACGCACCTGTCCCTGTGTCTGTGCAGCCACCAATGAGCCAGGTACAGCGCCTGTCGCTGCCAGGACCTGGGGATAGAAAGCAGAGAGGAAATGGTTGTTGGAGCGTAGCCAGTGGTCCTCAATGGTCAGTGTCGCTGGCACAGGCACGGAAAGTTTGCTCCTTGGGGCCAGTAGGGTACCAAAAAGTGATCATCTGCCAAAAAGGGGTTTCCAGCATTTGCCAAAAAGTTTACTGCAGGAATTTAAGCTGTTATAAATTACTTGTTGACTTAAAATCTGTCAAAAATATTGCTCATGACGAATATCAAGTAACTTCAAATCAGGGTAAAACGTAATTGACAATAACAATGTTTTTTTCAAGAGAGAGCTAGCCAAGAGGGCATCAGAAATAACAAATATAACATCACAGTTCTATAATCAAAAAGAACTGGATTGATGACAATATGGGTACAAATATGCATAAAGTCATAAAGATACTTGGAAGACAGATCATTTCTTTATTTTATATACAACCCCTTCATAAACCCTGTTGACTAAAGTGTATTTACTAACATAAGTAAAGATATTAGACTTAAAAAACCAAAACATCAAAAATCACTCTTTTGCAGATGCTCACCTCCCCTGGCTGCGATCTTCTGGGGTTTTCCGTCCGCGCCGCCAGGTGTTCTTCAGCCAGCCTCACTGCCGCCTCCAGATTGGGTGGCTTGCGACACTTGACCCAGTCCGCCATTTCCCTTGGGAGCCCCTCCACAAACTGCTCCAGAACGACAGCCTCCAGCAGCTGCGCCTCCCCACTGCCAGGATGCAGCCACCTCCCTGCGTCGTACCGGAGCTGCTGGGCAAAAGCCGAAGGCCCTTCTTGTGGTCCCATGCGGCAACCACGGAAGCGGCGACGATGGTCTTCTGGAGAGAGTTCCAGGTGGAGCGGATTCGCAGCGGCCCCAGACTGAGGCAAAAGGTTTAGTAGCATCTGCGTCTGCCGCTGGTGCAGTACTGCCTGCTGCTGCTGCACGTCCGCCATGCTGGCCATCATTTGAGCCAGTGCGCGACCTTGCTGTAGATTCTGTGGGTTTGACATGTCGTAGCGGCAAGCTGGGCACCACTGTATCACTCTGTTACTGATCTCTGTTATGACACACACAAGGAGACAGTTCTGCGTCACGTTTCACTAATAGTTTTTATTTAGTTCACAACTCGAAGCCACTCGTTTCACACCGTGGCAGGCATCAGCTCTTTCTCCCAGCCTCCCCTGCTGCTGTCACCTGAACTTGCTCTACCCCTCACCTGATGCTAAACCACAACCTGCCACAAAATGATATGTTGAAATTTAATGTAATTAGCGCACCATAAAAGTTCTAAAACAAACTCACCTGTATGTATTAACGTAAGTGACACTTTTCAGATGAAAGATAAGAAACAACAAATTAATTTCACTCTGGGTCCAGCCAGGCATGGACTGGGACAAAAAATCCGCCCGGGCATTTTGACTAGAGACCGGCCCACCAGGTTATATAGGAAAAACCATAAAGCCTTTGAATGAAAACAAACACTGTTGTCACTGTGATGTACGCTGTCTTGTTGGTATATATGTATCAATCTAATAAACTTAAACCTACACCATCCTCCCTATTCTGGTATTCGAAACAGTACTTAATGGAAATATTAAGCAACCTAACTAATAGGGTTGACAAATCCTACCCCCCCCCCCCAAAAAAACAAAAAACAAAAATAGGGAACCACCCCCCACCCTCCGCCTCGTGATGCTTAATTGACATAATCGTCTTTAATTTAATGCACATGTAAAAACACATGCACAGAAATCAATTATTAACACACTACAATAATGAAATAATAATTTCTTCAACATAATTGTAGACTGCACAGATGATACCTTCAGAAAGGAAAAACTACCATAGCTTAGAGTATATATTAGACTTAATATTTACTAGATACAATAATGGATTTTTATACATTTTACATCAAATGAAAACTTTGTTTGTAAGATTCAGATAATTATTTATTAAAAACCAGACATTTTAAATGAGAATTTCCCGGTTAATGCCCTACCTGGCCCCCTGGCAAAACTTTGCTAGACCCGCCCCTGCACAGTTACCAGCTGTCAGCTACATAAAAAAGGATCCTGGTGTTATTTGTCTCTCAGAAACAGTTCATAACTTCCCTTCAACTCATTCATGTCACCTAAAAGGTAAACCTGTTTCTCCATCACCTGTTCAGCTCTGGTGATTCAGTAAGGACATTTCCTGGTTTCATCTTCATGTTTCCCTCTCACCACATATCCAAACTGATATCATGACCAGCAGCTTTTACAGCTGTGTTTGCAGCAAACATCAGCTGATACTAGAAAGTAATATTGAATCAATTCTAACAACAGCTGATCAAGCTTAAACGTGCTGCTATTGTTTAGTTCAACATCCGCTGGTTTCCTCTTTCTGGCACAAAGTGGGCAAGCGAGAGAGACGGGACAGAAAAGACGATCAGCTGATCATTGATCAGTTTCATGACTGAAGTGCCAAACAGGAGAGGGAGAGAGAGAAGGAGAGAAGAAGAGGCAGCTGTGCAGCATAAAGACGCAGAATAACTCCAGCTTTCTGTCTTTTTTTTATTCTAGCTGAAGTACGGGACAAATCGTGTTCCTTTTCACCTCAGTACCATTTTCTTATATTTGTCTGCAATAAGACTGCTTTCGGAGCCATTGCCCAAGCAAGGGGGAGGGTGCATCCAACCTCCTCGGCTGTAATTGGTCCAGCCCAGAGTTTATCATGACACTTTGGCCAATCCATGAACTTTCATTGTTTATACCGTTACAGAACAAAACAAAACAAACAAACAAACAACCATCTGCCCACCAAAAAACGAAAAATCACCGCCTACTGGGCAAATGCCCGGTATGCCCAATGGCCAGTCCAGCTATGGTCAGAAACCAAGTAAAACCTGGTCTGCCGATCAGGGAATGAGAAAAGCAGGAAGGGCTGACGAGAGTGGCTGGATGTTTGTCAAATGTAGAAACTGTCTTGGTTCATTGTTGTCTGTATGTCAAAGTTCAAATGAGTTAAAGGGGTCAAGTAAAGAAAGAAAAACAAAAAAAACTTTGCAAAAATGAATAATAATAAATTAAATAAAAATAACAAAGAAGAAAAAGTTACATCACTTACAACAGCAACAATGAGTTTGGTGAGGTGCTGTTTCAACTTATTCAGATTATTCTCATGTACTATTTCATCAGAAACACACATTGTAAACAAAACAGCACAACAGGATCTGACTATCCTTCTTCCTTCTTCTTCTGACAATAAGAGAAGTAAATAAAAAAAAATGCAGAGAGGCACACACTGGAACAGGGTGAAAAGAAAAATCTAGCTAAAAGCAAAAGACCAAAAACAAAACTGAGACTCGGTTTTTGCAAAAAGGTGTAGTTGACTGTTTGGCAAAAGGCAAGTGAAAGTGGATCTCTACATATAACACAACGCTAAACCTAGACAGAGTAAAGTGGGTGTGCAGGGAAAAGCAGAACTCAGAAAACAAAAAAGGGGCTGGGGGAGATGAAGAAGTGGTGTTGATGCATGACTATCCTTCTTCCAGAGCTGTTTAGATAGATAGGCATAGTCAAAAGATGCTTATATTTAACTCTGTGAAGATTAAACACATAAAATATGTAATAAAATAGCCTTGTCCAGATAACAGAAAAATAACTGCTATGGAAAGTCACACGTAAGGCAAGGTCAGGAAGCCTGCTGGAGGCAAAAAGTGTCATGTTCTTAATGAAAGAGTACGACAATAAGACTCACTTTCAGTTTCTGATAAAAAGGAAATGAAACTGAACTAAAGATTAAATCCTGCCATCTTTCCATTTACAGGTTTTCATACACAAATCTCCCTAATGCAAAACTTCCCAAAACCTAAATGCATTCACCAAATTGTTTCTGGTTTTCTTTATTACCAGTGTTGGGGAGTAACGGAATACATGTACCGGCGTTACGTCTTTTAAATGTTATACCTCTGAAAACAGTCGTTTATTGCAATGAAAGTCAACATAAATATTTCACATTCTGTACTGCTCAATGTCACAGAGTGGAAGGAAAAGATAAATAATAAACTAAAATAATAAAGCGCTAACTGTGTATACATATATATATATATATATATATACATATATATATATATATATATATATATATATATACTGTCATGATCCTGGGCCATGTTGGCCCAGTATTCTTAATTCTCATGTGTCTTTGTATTCAGTTCCCTGTTTAGGCTCCGTTTCCTGAGTTGCCCTGTTGTGGTGTTCCCTGAGTGCTTTCCCTTTTTGACTCTCACCTCCTGTGTGCCCCTCTGTGTATTCATGAGCCCTCGTCCCCTTT